TGCACAGATATTTAGCAATGTTATTGATCATACAAAATTGATGTCATTTGAAAATAATAATATTTATTATCAGACTGTGTACCTCTGTGTTTTCTTTGAATAAAATTTGTCTCCAATAGATTAAACTTATTTCCATGGAGGGATTGCTCTGAAACGTTTGTAGAAAGATTTATAATTTCTTAGCAACCATATACAGGTTAGAGAGGTCATATTGGAATCCTTTTTTGACTGTGATTCATCAGGGGAACCATAAGAGGGAATTTGTGGAAGATGAAAACTTTGTCTATTCTTGAGATTTCCAGGCTTTCCCCACAGAATTCATCCCTAAGAACCTTACATGAGTCCAGCAGGTTCAAATCTAACAAAAGATCACTCATACCACTCTTAGTCTTTCACTGGATGATTTCCTAGAATTCACAGACAATGGAACTCTTTCCTATCTTGCTGACACTGAGGTTTATATTTGTGGAAGAGAGTTCACAAAAATTCAGGTTCAGGACACAAGACACTGAGAATGCAGGGCTCCTGATAACAAGAAATGATCTACTAAATTCCCAGTGTGGAATCCCACTCCTCTGGCTCCAGTGTTAGCTGAGCAGGAACCCAAAATGTTTCCAATTTTCAGACTTCTCACTCTGTGATCTCTGAAGAAGCCTTTCAGCTGAGGAGGTCATTGATAAATTCCTAGCCAAGGTATAGTGTGCTGTAGGCGACATCCTGAATCAGCATTATTCATTCACTGATATCCTTTAGCACTATTGACAAACACCCTATAAGACTGTAAGGAGATGGCTGACAAATAAACACTGCAAATGATTATTTCTGAGAATGTTTCCATTGTAATCCTCTTTGTCATCTCATGTTTCTGCTTCTCCAGGTTTTCTGACACACACAGGCTGTTGTTGCAATACTATGTGTCTCATAGAGTAATAGACTGAAGAGTGCTCAAATGTCAGGCTGCAGAGCTCCATGTAGGCTTGGTAGAGGGTGTGTCGGCAGTCAGTGTGGGCTTGTCCTACAACTTCTGATTGTAGACAGTACAACCATTTTCAGGATAAATCCTTCCAATCCATTGTAGGCCCTGTCCAGGCTTCTGATTCACCCAGTTCATAACACACATAGTGAAGGTATATCCTGAATCCCTGCAGGGCAACTTCACGGAGGACCCTGGCTTCACCAACTCAGCCCCAGCCTTCTGCAGCTGGACGTGTTGATGGACACAAATGGAGAGAAAGGAAGAGTATATATCTTAGTCTCCTCAGTCTGTGTTCCTTTTTCTGGTTTGGAATTGGAAATCCCTTTACTTCTAGTTTCTGACACAAGAAAGAGAATGGTGCAGCTCCATCCCATGGTGAGGACCTGTGTCTTCTATAACTATGGAGAGGCCACTGGTCTCATGCTATGTTGGGAACTGGATATCCTTGTAATTATCATAATTGACTCAGGCAATTTGCATATTCATGGAAGGGTATTCTTAGATAAGGACCTATTCCTACTGAAAAAGAAGATAGAGGGCACCTGGGTCAGGCAGCAGGACCCTGAGATCCCAAATTTAATCCGTTTCTAGGATACATATAGTATCCTTCATTCCTGGACCCTCTGCAGATGCTAAGGAAGTAACATCAGGACATAAGGTCTCAATAGGTTTCAGGGCTGAGATAGTGGTTCCACTAGAAACAGACTGGACCTACACATGGTGGCTGTCATGATGACAATGTTGAGAAATGTAAAACCTGCTGAGTCTCAAATTTACAGACCCCTTTAAGATACATGCAATTAATATTTATCTGTCTAACAGATTATATACTAAAACTCTCACAAATAAACAAAAGCAAATATACTTCAACATATTTGCAAAACAGTGATTACTCTGGTAGCATCACTATAACTAAATTCTGTAAATAAATTCTGTATTTATCAACAGAGGATCTCATCAGCAACAAATAGAAGTGTATCGTATAAAAGGAATATGGAACTTACATCAGTTATAGAAAAAATGGATACCGTTAGAGATAAAAGTATTGATTAAGGCCATCTCAGACATTGAATGAGACTCTCATGAGTGGTTTTTATACATTTCATACTTGCATACAGCTATAAATAAAAATCCACATTGAAGTATAAGTGAAATCTTCTACTAAAATAAAAGCAAACTAGTAGGAGATAGACAATGAAGGGTAGAGATTATGGGGGAAATAACACAGAATATGAAATACATGAATATGCAAATTCTAAAACACTGTAGAGTTGTTATTTCATATTTTATATTATTTGAAATTTTAATCTACATGAAATAAAAAGTATGATTGCATCTATACCAATCATGTTCCACTGGTTCATCCTGGGAACTTCTAATAAGTCTCTGTACCTCTTCATGAAATCTTTTGTTTCATTAGCTAATAATACAATGAATCCAAACAATTCTATCTGTATACACATAGGTGCAGTCTTTCAATAGTACACCAGAATCCTCCAAAACACTTCCAAAGAAAATTGATGATATTTTCCTCATTAGTCATCAATGCTAAAAGATTCTCAGTTGGATGGGGGTCCTTGGGAATTTCTCTACATCCATGTAATAATTTTACATATTGTTATACTACCTTTAGTGATGTAAAAAGGAGAGATATGTACCAGGGACTCTGTGTGGTCTGTAGAGGAAAACTTATTGAATTCAGTATTTGTATCCTATTATGTTGGTCCAAGCAATCTAACTAATGTTGCTAAGTTTACCAGTAGACACCTTTAATTACTCAGGTATTTCAAGGATCTGACTAAACTAAATGAACTCAATGGTATCTTTAAAAATGTTTTAGGTCATATCAAATCATGCAGTTTTTGTTTCACTTGTCTTTTGCTTATCATCAATAGAGGGTTGGGTTTTTGGAATGTCTGTGCATGTGCAAAAGAGAATTTTCTGTTTTGTTTTTGTTGTTTTGGTTTAATCACTTCCCTAAAATAATTTTGTCTATATGTTTTTTATTCCTGAAGAGAGAAGGACAGAGTGTACAGTTAGGTAGAAGAGAATATATGAAAGATCTACAAGTAGGGGGAGGGGAATAAGTGATCAGAATACACTATACAAATTTTAAAAAATTATAAAATATAAATGGAAACAGAAGAAAATAAACAAGAAAATATAGACCCATAAAAAGTTTAACAAAGTCTCTTTACTGTATTTGAGCATGGAAAATTCACTTGTCAATCACAGAAGGCTCAGAAGAGCTGGTAGACTCAAGAAAGAAACTACATAGCATACAGAGTCACCTCCATACAAACCTCATCTCTGTAGTAGGGAAGTATTGGCTCCATTGTGCCCCTGATTGTTCTCATCTCCCCTGCATTTTGATTTGTCATGACTTACCTTGAAGTTGCACATTATCCTTTGAGCAGTAACTCAACCCTTCACTTTCAGTGCTTACAGAGCTCAGCTAAAGGGGAAATGACAGTTGTTTGTGTGTAGATGCTGACTGGAGGCTTCAAAGACTGATTTTGAATTGTCCCTATACTATCTTCAATGCCCCTTTTTCTTCAATGGGGCATATGTTAGTTAAGCTTATCAGAAACTGAACATTTTCATGGAAAAAGGATGGATTTGGATTCTTCAAATGAAACCATCCAATAGCACTATGTGGGAATATGTGTGCATGTATATTTAAATGTCTGAAGAATAGTTACAATATTAAAACAAAAATATATACTACATAAATTCAGTTTACTGATGCATATTTCTCTCTAATATCAGGTCACAGATCAAATTGCCTCATCTTGCAGGGCAGAGGGAGCTGGGAAATATGTGGTCCATGTCTTCTCATCTATCCCTGGTCAGGAATGATATGATGTCTTGATGTCTGTCAGTTCCTCTATTCTCTTTAAAGAGGAATACTCACCCTACAATTTAGGGTGATGTATGGTTTATTCTGGCTTTTCAGAATGTCTGTGGAATGAGTAATGTCTATAAAGCCGTATTTATACATAAATTCCCACCCTTCAGAGCTCAGAGAACCTCACAGAAGTTTTGGCTGATAGAGCATAAGAGCCACAGTAGATGAAGGACACAAGGATAATAAGAACCTCTATCAAAGAGACTTCTTACTTTATCAAAACATTGAGACCTCAAAATACCACAGGTATCTGTGTGCTGGTTTACATTCTCCCACAAATTAAATTATCTGTAGAGCAAGGTTACCTCTATGTATCCAGTGGGCTATGACATGTAATGCTGTATCAGTGTAAGTCAATGTTCAATAAAGTCTTATGACTGTAGATCAGTGGACTGGAAATGGGAAGGCAGTAATTTGAGAACAAAGAATTTTGTATAATTTCAGACATATTCTCACTATATGTCTATATCTATATCTATATATATAGATATATACAGATAGACACTGGGTTGATAAAAGATTCTTATGAAATATAATTCAATAATACTTTTGATCAACTTGCAAGATTTATACTTATTTGACAGTACATTGTGGTATGACTATCTCTTACATTCTGTGAGACCAAAACTTCTTCTACTGGAGGTCACAACCTGAGAGGAAAACACACAATCAGGTCACACAAGTCTTAAGAATATGAGAGGAGTTTTGGTTGGGTCAGACGTTATTTCTGTAGATTTGAATGGTAAGCATTACACTATATTATATTCAAAGCTAACCATCAAATAGTCCAGTCTCTCAGAATCCTGATTCATCTTTTTCACTGTGCAGTATCAGATTTTAATTTGTGAATTATTTCAATTAGAAAAAAATCATGTCAATGGAATGGCCACATGGAGATATTGTCGAGACACAATGTATTATAGGAGTATATACAATTCACATCAGTTTATTGATGGGTATAATTTTAAAGAATAGACTTAAAGCAGACAGGAACACAAGAATGAGGCAGATAAAGATGCAATAGGAATGATTGCTGAGGGAGTCCCCAGACTGATCATCTCTGTCATCAAAGCTTTCTCTTTCTCCAGGGTTTCTGACATACTCAGGATGTGGTTGCTACACTGTGTATCTTGCACAATAATAGACTGCAGAGTCCTCAGATGTCAGGCTGCTGAGTTCCATGTAGACTGTGCTGGTGGGTTTGTCTACCGTCAGTTTGGCCTTTCCCTTGTACTTCTGGTTGTAGTCAGTAACATCATTCCAAGTATAAATCCATCCAATCCATTCCAGTCCCTCTCCAGGCTTCTGCTTCACCCAGTTCATAACATAGTCTGTGAATGTGTAGCCAGAAGCCTTACAGGACAACTTCACTGAGGACCCAGGCCTCAGCAGTTCAGCCCCAGACTGCTGCAGCTGGACCTGGGAGTGGACACCTGTGAATATAAAGGTAGATTAGAAGTTATTAATTATCACCTAAGTCCCTGACTCCTCCTCATGTTTGGAACTGGAGATTCCTTACCTGTAATTACTGACATGAGAAAGATGATCCAGCTACATTCCATGGTGAGGACCTGTGTGCTCAGTGACTGTGGAGAGTACACTGATCATATGCTGTTAGTGGTGGATGGACATCCCTGTATTTACCACCAAAGACTCAAGTAATTTGCATATTCATGAGCAGATAATTTCTTTAAATAATGGCCTGGTCCAGTTTGAGAAGGAGGTAGAAGACACTTGGTTCAGGCAAAGGATGCTGAGATCCAAAACCTAATCCTGTCTGATGAGATGTATCCTTTCCGCTTCCTGCATGTCTGTGCAGATTCTGTAAGTGAAACATCAGTACCTAAGCTCTCAGTCGATTTCAGACCTGAGGCAGGTGCCCTGCTTTGTGACATGGTTGACAGACTTATTTAAAGAATGTGGTACATTTACATAATGGAGTACTATTCAGTAGAAAAAACAATGGAATCCTGAAATTTGCAGGCAAATGGATGACACTAGAAGAAACCATCCTGAGTGAGGTAACCCAGTCACGAAAAGAGAAACATGGCATGTACTCTCCCATATATGGATTTTGGACATAGATCGGGGGAGTGTCAGCCTACAAAACCATGGCCAGAGAGTCTGAGAAACAGAACCTTCATTCAATGGCTGATTGAATGCTTTCTTACTGATGACCAAAGGGCTTAAGACTGGGCTGGTTTAACTCGCAGAAACAGCTGACCTGACAGGAGTTAGCTCTTGAATCACAGACTGATGGCTAGGAATCCAGCATGGGACTGATCAAGAATCCGTGAATGTTGCTGTCATCGAGGAGGCCTAGGTAATCTATTGATCCTTGGGTAGTAGATCAGTATTTATCTCAGGTATACAAATGGACATTGGGAAACAATCCAACAAGGAGAGACTCTTGGGAGAGTGCCTAGGCCCTGCCCTGGATGAAATGACAGACTATGGACATCCCCATGGTGAGCCTCACCCTCCCTGGGGAAATGAGGGGATATGGAGGGTTTGGTGGGAGGGCATGGGAGGGAAAGCAACCTGGAATAGACAAATGAAGCAACCTTTCTAATTTAAATTTAAAAATAAAAAATAAAACATAAAAAGGTGGTTGTGATGATAATGGTAATAACTGAAATGTACAATATCTGATAAATTTTGAGAATTTAGATCCTTCTTTCAGATATATAGAATTAATATTTGCCTTTCAAGAGTGTTGCAAACAAAAACTCACTAATTGAGCTAAAGCAAACACATCTCAGAAATATTTGCTCATTGATGTTTATTTCAGCACTGCCTAAAAGAACTTATGAAATAAACTACATTTATGTCATCAGATAACTGGTTATATATGCAACACATTGGTGGTATTTCATATGAGAGAATAAGAAACTCATCACCTTTAGGAAAATCAGTGTGGCCTGAGATAACTGGAGAAAATTAAGATCATCTCTGAAACACTGACATTATGTGAGACTCTAAGTTGCATTAAGGTATTGACTAAGCACACAGAAGTAAGTATGCAAATTTCTAACAAGTAGTAAATGTCACTGTCAAGCAGAATACAGCATAAAACAGGACTGTCAAGAATAGTAGAAAACATAAACTCTAAGCAGAGTGAAATGGTTTATTAGATATTCTAGAAAATCACACAGTCGGCAGAGGATGTTAGAAGTAGACACTCACAAGTCCTGTGGATTTTCTTCACTGCTGTCAGAGATGTAAAAGCATTTTTCTTGTAATTGTTGCTTTTTGAAGCATCAATGTGATATTTGTGGTGTGCCTGACATTGAACAACTTACTCATTGACTTACACTTACACACTGACCGAATTACAAATTGGTGTGGTCATGATGGAATATATGGAAAGAAATTGGAGTGAACTCCAGATTCACTTAAGGTAGATACTCAAAATATCATATTTATGCATAAAACAACTTCATATAATAAAACATTTGGGGGATAAACCTGTCAAGATTTGTACAGGCCATGATCTATGACTGTAATGCTAAGGTAGAAACAATGGAAAGAGAAACCATATCCAGAATGCTGATGGATACAGAGGCTCTGAGCCAGTAGAGAAGCACAGGCTATAAGAGCTGCACTAACTCACCCTTGGTTTACATTTCCAGGGGTTGATCAACATTAAACAGTTTATTTGTGTATGATTAAATTATATATTTCAACATTGCGTAATATCTGATATTTTCCCCATGAGATTCCAAGGTCATCACACCTATCCTCATCAAAAGTAAAAGATCCTGGAATGGATGAAACAGAGTCAAAGTTATCAATATGGGTGAATGGGATAGAGGGTCAGAGATGCAAGGACCACTGGCTCCTGTTGTAGGAAAGGCAGGCAACAAACTCTTATGAAAAGAGGAATTAATTTTAAACCCTCTGTTATTGTGTTTCTGATCCCATGTGCAAATAGGACATAAAACTGATGTTCTGTCTTAAATCAGTTACTTGAACTGCAGTGGATATAGACATTTTCCCTAAATTTTTCTTTTTTTATATCATTTTTATTTTAATTTCAAATAGCTTGTTTTACATGTCAATCACAGTTCTCTCTCCCTCCCCTCCTCCCTCACCCCCATTCCCCCCCTCCCTCCCACCCTATTGCCAAATCCTTCCACATAGGGGATATCTAGAGTCTGTCATTTTACCCTTGGTGGGGTCAAGGCACTCCCCTAAGAGTCCAGGCTGAGAGAGCATCTCTCTTTGTGCTATAGACACACAAAGACAGTTTGTATACCAGGGATAGACACTGATCCACAGCTCAGAGCCCCATAGGTTGCCCAGTCCTTCTCGCTGACACTCACATTTAGGGGGTCCAGATAAGTCCCATGCTGGCCTCCCCTCTGTCAGTCTGGGGTCCAAGAGCTCTCCCCTGTTCATATCAGCTGTTTTTGCTGGTTTTGCCAGCCCATTCTTTGCCAATTTGCTCATCACTGCTCTCTCTCTCTGTCACTGGGTTCCTTGGGTTCAGTTCAGTGATTAATTGTGTGTTTGTCTCTGCTTCCATCAGTCACAGGATGAAGGCTCCCAGATGGTTATAGACATCAAGTTCATTATCAGGAATGGGCATTCGAGGTGGTCCCTCCACTATTGCTTAGGTTGCCAATTGGTGTTATCCCTTTAGATCACTCGAGGTCACTCTGGTGCCTGATCTGTCTTCGATCCTATGATTCCCTCTTCCCCCTATTCTACCCCCACCCCCTCAACTTCCTGTTCCCCCATGACCAACTCTCTTCCTCTTTACCCCCTCTCTTCTTCCCAGGTCCCACTCCCCCCCACCCCTCCCCGTGTTCCCCATCCATTCAGAGGATCTTGTCTCCATCCTCTTCTCTTGGGTACTATGCATATATGCATATCTTTTAGGTTCTTCCCTGTTTCCCAGACTCTCTATCTGTGGAAGTGCAGACTGGCACTATCCTGATCCATATCTAAAATCCATATATGAGTGAATACATACCATGTTTGTGTTTTTGCGACTGGGTTACCTCACTCAGGATGGTTTCTTCTAGTGCTATCCATTTCCCTGAGAATTTCAAGATTCCATTGTTTTTTTCTGCTGAGTAATACTCCATTGTGTAAATGTACCACATTTTCTCTATCCACTCTTCAGTTGAGGGGCATCTAGGTTGCTTCCAGGTTCTGGCTATTACAAACAATGCTGCTATGAACATAGTGGTGCAGATGCCCTTGTTGTATGACCCTGCCTCATTTGGATAAATGCCTAAGAGTGGAATTGCTGGGTCTAGTGGTAGATTAATTCCCATTTTCCTGAGGAATCTCCATACTGATTTCCAAAGAGGCTGTATGAGTCGGCATTTCCACCAGCAGTTGAGGAGTGTTCCTCTCTCTCCACATCCTCTCCAGCATAAATTGTCTTCGGTGTTTTTGATTCTAGCCATTCTGACAGGAGTAAGATGGTATCTCAGAGTTGTTTTGATTTGCATTTCCCTGATGGCTAAGGATGTTGAGCACTTTCTTAAGTGTTTCTTGGCCATTTTAGCCTCCTCTACTGAGAATTCTCTATTTAGCTCTGTACCCCACCTTTCAAGTGGATCCTTTGGTGTTTTGGAGGCTTGTTTCTTGAGTTCTTTGTAAATTTTGGAGATTAGCCCTCTGTCAGATATAGGGTTAGTGAATATCTTTTCCCATTCTGTGGCCTGCCTTCTTGTCTTTTTGACTGTGTCCTTTGCCTTACAGAAGCTTTTTAGTTTCAGAAGGTCCCATTTGTTAATTGTCGATCTCAGTGCCTGTGCCACTGGTGTTATGTTTAGGAAGTGGTCTCCTGTACCAACTCGTTGAAAAGTATCTCCCACTTTCTCTTCTAAAAGTTTCAGTTTGGCTGGATGTATGTTGAGATCTTTCATCCATTTTGACTTAAGTTTTGTACAAGGCGATAAACATGGATCTATCTTCAGTCTTCTGCATACCAGTACCCAGTTATGCCAGCACCATTTGTTGAAGATGCTTTCTTTTTTCCATTGTACAGTTTTAGCTTCTTTGTCAAAAATCAGGTTTTCATAGGTGTGTGGGTTAAAATTAGGGCTTTCGATTCGGTTCCATTGGTCTACCTGCCTATTTTTGTGCCAATACCAAGCTGATTTTAGGACTATAGCTCTATAATAGAGCTTGAAGTCAGGTATGGTGATGCCTCCTGAAGTTCCTTTATTGTATAGGGATGTTTTGGCTATCCTGGGCATTTTGTTTTTCCATATAAAGTTGATTAATGCTCTTTCCAGGTCCTTGAAGAATTGTGATGGAATTTTGATAGAGATTGCATTGAATCTATAGACTGCTTTTGGCAAGATTGCCATTTTTATTATGTTGATCCTACCAATCCAAGAGCATGGGAGATCTTTCCATTTTCTGGTATCTTCTTTGATTTCTTTCTTCAAAGACACAAAGTTCTTGATATACAGGTCTTTCGCTTCCTTGATTAACTTTATCCCCAGATATTTGATGCTGTTTTTGGCTATTGTAAAAGGTGATGCTTCTCTGATTTCTTTCTCAGTCACTTCATCATCTGTATATAATAGGACCACTGATTTTTTGAGTTTACCTTGTATCCTGCCACATTGCTGAAGGT